CCTGCTGGGGTTTATACCTCGGAAATACTCGATACCTTTGAAATCCCACAGCGGTTGCTCTTGGGGGGTTGGTTAGAGTGGTTTTCTCCCTTGTGTGTGCAACCTCCATCCTTTTACCCAAGGGACTCCTGAATCTGGGGCTTCCGCTCGCCCACAGCCTCCCCATCAGCTGGACGTCAAGTGGGTGATGGCAACCAAGCTCGGGCAAGGAGCGGGCAGAGGGTCTGGGCTGAGGATGCCAAAGCTGCGGGAGGGGAAGGGGTTTGGGCTCAGGGGAGAGCAGGGTGGCACATGGGTGCGGGGGTGGTGACCCACTCCGTGATGCCGAAAGCGGGTTTGGGGCTGTGCCCGGAGAGCTGGTTTCGCTGGAGTGAGGGGTCACTGTCGCACTCTTGCCAAATTACCCTCCCAAGAGGTTTTCACTACTTTACCCCCACATTTTTTAATTATTTTTTTTAATAAAAAGGTGACAAGCTCGGTGCTTCAAAACCATCCCTGACCACCCCCGGGATGGTATCCGAACCCTTTCCCAGCAGCGGGTTCCTGCTGTCTGGTCAGGGCTGGGAGAGGGCCACAGTCCCCGCGGCCGGTGGGGCCACTTGTCTGGTGACCACTTCTGGTGGCTGAAGCTGACTGGATTCAGTCCCCATTTTCCAGTTTCCAAGTTCTGGCCCTGGTACATGGCCTGCGGTTGCCGTGGGTGCCCGTACGGCCGAGAGCCCGGCGCAGCTCCCTTCCAAAGGTCCCCGTGTAGGTGCATCCACAGGGCCAAAGCCACCAGGTGTCCCCAGCCAACGGCAGCACCCGTCACCTGCAGACTGATGCCATCTCCCCAGCTTGTTCCCGCAGGAGGATCCCGTGAGCGTCAGGACCCACATCCATCCCTCTCAGAGGGTGTCCCGTGTCCAGCGCCGTGCTTCGGGGCTGGATTCCCATGGGAAAAGGGGAAGCATCTGAGCAGGAAGGCACCAGGAAGCTGCTGTGGGTCGACATGGGGACAGAGGAGGGGGGGGGACGGACGCAAGTGACTTTTGCATCCCAGAAGGTCCCGTCTCCTGCCCTGAACTGGGTCCCAGCCTCCCTCCGCCGCAGCCAGCGGAACCCCAGCGGGGGCCGGCCGAGCTTTGTGTCCCGGCAATGATGTCTCATAAAATTAAGTGATGTGTGTGCCGGAGTTCGGTGGATGGGGAGATTTGTGTTTGAGCTCGCTGCGGCAGGAGCCTTTCGCTCCCGCGAGAGCTGATCCCATGTGAATATCCTCATATCTCTTCCCCCTCTGCCTTCCTTAGGGAAAAGCTTCACCCTGACGATCACCGTGTTCACCAACCCCACCCAAGTCGCCACCTATCACCGAGCCATTAAAGTGACCGTGGACGGACCCCGGGAGCCACGAAGTAAGTGATGTCTTTTATTTGGCCGCCCCTGAGGAGCTCAGCGGGGAGGGGGATATAGGGATCTCCATGGCTGAAGGATGCGGGATGCCCCTGCGACCGGGCAAAGCCAACTGGGACAGGCACCGTTTTCAGGGCGCAGAGCTAACGAGTCGGCGTCGGCATGGTGGAGCGAGCCCCGAGAGCGCGCGCGGTGGCGGGCACGGCTCGGCTGCTTTTATTTTCTCGGCACGGCGTGTGTCCCTGCCTGCTGCCTGCTCTCGCCGCCC